CGTCTGCGACCGTTTCAACTTCATTCACGATTTGGTTCTCTACCTATACCAGAACCAACAATACAAGTCGATCGAGGTCTATGTGCAGCGTGTTAACCCTTCTCGCACTCCGGCTGTCGTTGGAGGCTTGTTGGATGTTGACTGTGATGAAGCTATCATCAAGAACCTTCTGTCTACCGTCGAGCCCTCTGTTATTCCCATTGACGAGCTCGTCTCCGAGGTTGAAACACGAAACAGATTGAAGCTGCTTTTACCTTTCCTTGAAGCCACTCTGGCGACTGGCAATCAGCAGCAGGCCGTTTACAACGCTCTTGCCAAGATTTACATCGACAGCAACAACAACCCCGAGAAGTTCCTCAAGGAGAATGACATGTATGACACGTTGACCGTCGGTAAATACTGCGAGAAGCGTGATCCGAACCTGGCCTACATTGCATACAGGAAGGGACAAAATGACCTGGAACTTATCAACATTACCAATGAGAATGCCATGTACCGGGCCCAAGCTCGTTACCTTGTTGAGCGTGCCGATCCTGAGATTTGGTCGTTCGTCTTGAGCGAGAATAACTTGCACCGCCGTTCTCTTGTCGATCAAGTCATCGCAACGGCGGTTCCTGAATCGACTGAACCCGACAAGGTTTCCGTTGCTGTCAAGGCGTTCCTTGAGGCGGACCTTCCTGGCGAGCTTATCGAGCTCCTGGAAAAGATCATTCTCGAGCCCTCACCCTTCAGCGACAATGGTAGCTTGCAGAACCTGCTAATGTTGACGGCAGCTAAGGCTGACAAGGGACGTCTGATGGATTACATTCATCAGCTCAACGAGTTCAGCGCTGACGAGATCGCCGAGATGTGTATCTCTGTCGGGCTGTATGAGGAGGCGTTCGAGATCTATAAGAAGGTCAACAACTACATTGCTGCCGTCAATGTTCTTGTTGAGAACATTGTCAGTATTGACCGTGCTCAAGAATTCGCCGAGCGCGTTGAGTTGCCGGATGTGTGGAGCAAGGTTGCAAAGGCACAGCTTGACGGTCTCCGCGTGTCTGACTCGATCGAATCGTACATCCGAGCCAATGATCCCTCGAATTACCTCGAGGTCATTGAGACTGCCACTCACGCCGGCAAAGACGAGGAGCTCGTCAAATATCTCAAGATGGCTCGCAAGACACTGCGGGAGCCAGCCATTGACACCGCCCTTGCTTTCTGCTATGCTCGTCTTGACCAGCTATCGGAGCTCGAGGATTTCCTGCGTACCACCAACGTGGCCGATGTCGAAACGTCCGGTGACAAGGCCTATGCTGAAGGCTACCACCAGGCAGCCAAGATCTTCTATACGAGCATCTCCAACTGGGCCAAGCTGGCTACCACCCTGGTGCACTTGGAAGATTACCAGGCTGCAGTCGAGTGTGCACGCAAGGCCAACAGTGTCAAGGTTTGGAAGGAGGTCAACCAGGCCTGTGTGGACAAGAAGGAGTTCCGTCTCGCCCAGATTTGCGGTCTCAACCTCATTGTGCATGCCGAGGAGCTGCAGGATCTTGTGCGCCAATACGAGCGCAATGGCTACTTCGACGAGTTGATCAGTGTTCTCGAAGCTGGTCTGGGACTGGAGAGGGCGCACATGGGCATGTTCACCGAGCTTGGCATTGCTCTGTCCAAGTACCACCCTGACCGGGTCATGGAGCACCTCAAGCTCTTCTGGTCCCGCATCAATATCCCCAAGATGATCCGTGCGTGCGAGGAAGCAAATCTCTGGCCAGAGCTAGTGTTCTTGTATTGTCACTACGACGAGTGGGACAACGCCGCTTTGGCAATGATGGAGCGTGCCGCTGATGCCTGGGAGCACCATTCATTCAAGGATATCATTGTTAAGGTTGCCAACCTGGAGATTTACTATCGTGCTCTGAACTTCTATCTACAGGAGCAGCCTCTGCTTCTTACGGATCTACTCCAGGTCTTGACCCCTCGGATCGATGTGAACCGTGTTGTACGCATTTTCCAGAGCTCCGACAACATTCCTCTTATCAAGCCGTTCCTGTTGAACGTCCAGTCTCAGAACAAGAGAGCCGTCAATGATGCCATCAACGACCTCTTGATCGAGGAGGAGGATTACAAGACTCTACGCGACTCGGTGGACAACTATGACAACTTCGATGCGGTGCAGCTGGCGCAGCGTCTCGAGAAGCATGACCTCATCTTCTTCCGACAGATTGCGGCGAACATCTACCGTAACAACAAGCGCTGGGAGAAGTCGATTTCGCTTTCCAAGCAGGACAAGCTATACAAGGATGCCATTGAGACTGCGGCGATTTCTGGCAAGTCGGACGTGGTCGAGGAGCTTCTTCGCTACGTAAGTTTATCCCTCATTGGTCTCTTTTCTCACACTGGAACAATTCGCTGACTGTGTCTAGTTTGTCGACATTGGCAGCCGGGAGTGCTACGTCGGCATGCTCTATGCCTGCTACGATCTCATCCGCCCGGATGTCATCCTGGAGATGTCCTGGCGTCACGGTCTCCATGATTTCACCATGCCCTACATGATCAACTTCCTGTGCGAGCAGACACGTACGATCGAAATGCTGAAGAAGGACAATGAGGAACGCAAGGCGCGGGAAGCGTCGCATAAGAAGGAAGAAGACAACACACCAATTCTGGGAGGCTCACGGCTCATGCTGACCCAAGGGCCGGCGACGCCTGCCCCTGTACCGATGGCATACGGACAGGCTAATGGCATCACGCCGCAAGCCACTGGCTTCCGTCCGTTCTAGATGACGTTTGTTCATTAATGTATGCACCGGGAGAGCGCCAGCTGGTGGGCCCGTGATATACATGGCTGGGCATCTCGTTCGCGATGTGATTTTCTACTCATTATCCCTGATGGCATTGCATTTCTTTTTCTTCTTTCTTCGTACCGATGTATTCGATAGGCTTTGAACATTTGTACCTTTTTTTTCTCTCCCAGGTGAATAAATTAGTATCTTTCACGGCCTGAACAGTAATGCGCCGTGGCTGCCGGTCTATTGACTGCAGCAGTCATTAGTCTACGTTCTGTAAGCTGTCTCTGACGATGAATAGTGGACGAGCTCTCGATCGGTTAAAAGGAAGCATCAGGGAAATAGATTAGCCCGGACGATTCGGGGCAGCGAACTTTTTCCCGTGGGTATGGCGGTTCGTTGAGAGGCCGACGAGGCAAATGTCGAGAATGACGAGTTTCAATTGTGGAGATGCAGCATGCGAAGAAGGATGAATTGTGCGGTTGAAGGTTGACGATTGACTGGGATGCTCCGTACAGATGGTGTTGGCATTTCAGTGTGACAGAGCAAGGGACAATATCATCGCTGCGTTTCGGTGCCGGGTTGATGTAGGATAGGAGTCTAGGAGAGTATGAAGTACGTACGTGGATTCTGCATTGCTGACTGCAGTAAGACAGACTACCCGGTGTGCATAGCACTGCGCGGTGGTAGAATGATCATACAGTCCATGGTCCATAGTTACTGCTAGTTTATGTCTACTCCGTATCTAAACGCTACTGGCTACTAATGTAGTTACTATGTGTCCCGCAAGGGGGGATATCTACAGGTCAGATGACCTCACGGAAAGATTCAGCTTGTCCCGTCTTGTCGGTATGACCATTGCCAAATGAGATTTTCTGCCAAGTGGAGAGAGTCTAGCCCATCTGTACACTTGAGTTCTGCATAGTAAATTGCTGACTTGAAAGGCTGTGCCTGTCAGTTTGGGACTGCTGATGGAATTGGATAACTCTTACTCTGGTCCGTTGATCGGTCGGGCATACCAGTCCGAGAGCGTTTGAACAAGAACAACCAGTCAGATTGCGGATGATTTACGTTTCCTGTGGCTGCGATGACCTCGGTCCATCTAACCAGAATCGTTAATTTTAGTAGATAGACTAGACGGACGTGACGTGATTGCACGGAGTTTGTTGTCCGGCAATGCTGCCGATCAGACCCAGAGCGAGCGCCTAGCGCCGTTTACTTACGGAGATTACTAGAAAGCATGTGGGATTGTGGGTATGAGTAGGGTCATTATTCTGGAAACATGAGATCCCCATCCCAGGATAGGAACGAACTAACTGTTCTAGAAATGATGCTATTGGGAAAGTAGTTCCTCAAGACTCAAATGGATCGATTGATTATCTCCCGAGGGCCCGAGGTTGTAGGGATCGAGGTACCTGAATGATCCGATTCTTTCTCGATAGTCGATATTTTAGAATATGACATGAAGCCTTGTGGATGTTCTTTAGCTTGGAGGTTATTATTGTGTCATTTGCCGAGCATCTTCACCTTGGATTATCGTGCAGAGGGATTCGGTTTCTTCCTGTGTTTTCTGTGCTTCCCACTTGGAAGTTGATCCTCGAAGAAAGTAGATAGATAGTCTAGATAACTGACGACAAAATCAATTAACTAAGTAATATTTCATCCACCAATGGTTCGGTCGAGCGGATAATTCTGCTGGCTGAATGTCGATAGATAGTCCAATATCTGATTTTCAGTAGAGTAAAACGATTTGTACAACGATTTGTACAAAGGGGAAAAAGCCTACGGACTATCCATGGAATCCCCCGCTGCCCGGTGTACCGGTGAGCTAAATCCAAGACTTCCAAGAGGTCGATCAGAGTAGCACTTGTGATATTATTCTTTTTGTATCGAGATACTCCATAGTTCTGCATCGTCGGGATACAAATACAGCAGATAGTTTTTCATATGATTGTTAGATGTAGTTGATCAGTAGTACTATTCACTTGTATTATTATTGGCCTCAGGCAGTAGATTCCTTCTTATCACCGTCCAAGTCCCCCGCTCCTCGTTATCAACATCTTTCCATCACCCTTGCTTCTCATCCTTCATCAGCATCTTCTGTTGCTGCTCTCGATCAATTCATCGCAATTCATCCCTGCATCAATTCTTACCGGCTCCAATTATATCCCCATTGACCATTGCCTCGCCTATTCCACCCGTGGAGTCGTTCCAACCTTTCCCGCCCGTCCTGTTCTGGCCGCTCATCTCCTCCGCTGCCGAAACCGGTCCTTTTTCTTGCTTCTTGTGCAGCCCCGCGGGAAGCTTCCCTTGATCACTCCTCCTCTTCCACCAAGGTGACTCATTATTTTCCCACTTATTCCTTTTCTTTTCTTCTTCCTGGCTCGCCGTCACTCGTGTCTCCGTCTCAAACTTAAAAGTTCCCCAGTTTTCTAACCTTCCTCATCTTCTCCCGGGCCTCACTTGTTGAACCTCTTCTTCCGCTACAACTCCCCATCTTCTCCCTCTCCTCCCCTCTTGGCTCGCTCTCCCCATCTTCTACAACTACTGATCGCTGTTATCACCAGCAGCAGCAGCGGCAACTAGTTGGCCAGCTGATTGAATCCTTTTTCCTTCTCATTCATCACACATTTGCCGACCATGGCTGCTGCCTTTCGCCAGCCCGAGGAGGCGGTCGATGACACCGAGTTCATCAATGATCACCATGAGCACCACAGAGACTCGGTCCACCGCCGGCTACGTGCCAACTCCGCCATCATGCAATTCCAAAAGATCCTAGTCGCCAATCGTGGTGAAATTCCCATCCGTATCTTTCGTACCGCCCACGAACTTTCCCTGCAGACAGTCGCCATCTACTCGTATGAGGATCGTCTGTCCATGCACCGCCAGAAGGCCGACGAGGCCTACATGATCGGTCGTCGCGGTCAATATACCCCGTCGCTGCCTACTTGGCCATCGATGAGATCGTCAAGATTGCTCAGGAGCATGGTGTGCACCTGATTCACCCAGGTTACGGCTTCCTGTCTGAGAACGCCGAGTTTGCTCGCAAGGTCGAGAAGGCCGGTATTGTCTTTGTGGGCCCCACCCCTGAGACCATCGACGCCCTCGGCGACAAGGTCTCTGCCCGTCAATTGGCTATCAAGTGCGGCGTTCCCGTGGTCCCCGGTACTCCTGGTCCCGTGGAGCGCTACGAGGAGGTCAAGGCCTTCACCGACACCTATGGCTTCCCCATCATCATCAAGGCTGCCTTCGGCGGTGGTGGCCGTGGTATGCGTGTCGTCCGCGACCAGGCCGATCTGCGGGACGCCTTTGAGCGTGCTACCTCCGAGGCCCGCTCCGCCTTTGGTAACGGCACCGTCTTCGTCGAGCGTTTCCTCGACCGCCCCAAGCACATCGAAGTCCAGCTTCTCGGTGACAACCACGGTAACGTCATCCACCTGTTCGAGCGTGACTGCTCCGTCCAGCGCCGTCACCAGAAGGTCGTTGAGATCGCCCCCGCCAAGGATCTGCCTACCGAAGTGCGCGACCGCATTTTGGCCGATGCTGTGAAGCTGGCCAAGTCGGTCAACTACCGCAACGCCGGTACCGCCGAGTTCCTGGTTGACCAGCAGAACCGCTACTACTTCATCGAGATCAACCCTCGTATTCAGGTCGAGCACACCATCACCGAAGAAATCACCGGCATCGATATCGTCGCTGCTCAGATCCAAATCGCTGCCGGTGCCACTCTGGAGCAGCTGGGGCTGACCCAGGACCGCATCTCCACCCGCGGTTTCGCCATCCAGTGCCGTATCACCACCGAAGACCCGGCCAACGGCTTCAGACCCGATACCGGAAAGCTCGAAGTCTACCGTTCCGCTGGTGGAAACGGTGTTCGTCTGGACGGCGGTAACGGTTTCGCTGGTGCCATCATCACCCCTCACTACGACTCCATGCTGGTCAAGTGTACCTGCCGTGGTTCCACATACGAGATTGCGCGCCGCAAGGTCGTGCGTGCCCTGGTTGAATTCCGTATTCGCGGCGTCAAGACCAACATTCCTTTCCTCACCTCGCTGCTGAGCCACCCCACCTTCATCGATGGCACGTGCTGGACTACCTTCATCGATGACACTCCCGAGCTGTTCGCTCTGGTCGGCAGCCAGAACCGTGCTCAGAAGCTTCTTGCCTACTTGGGCGATGTCGCCGTCAACGGCAGCAGCATCAAGGGTCAGATCGGCGAGCCCAAGCTCAAGGGCGATATCATCAAGCCTACCCTGCTGGACGCCGCCGGTAAGCCGATTGACGTGAGCGTTCCCTGCACCCAGGGTTGGAAGCAGATCATCGACCGTGAAGGTCCCGCTGCTTTTGCCAAGGCTGTCCGTGCCAACAAGGGCTGCTTGATCATGGACACCACCTGGCGTGATGCCCACCAGTCGCTGTTGGCTACTCGTGTCCGCACGATCGATCTGCTGAACATCGCCAAGGAGACCAGCTACGCGTACGCCAACGCTTACAGTTTGGAATGCTGGGGTGGTGCCACCTTCGACGTCGCTATGCGCTTCCTCTACGAGGACCCCTGGGACCGTCTGCGCAAGCTGCGCAAGGCCGTGCCCAACATTCCCTTCCAGATGCTGCTCCGCGGTGCCAACGGTGTCGCTTACTCATCTCTTCCCGACAACGCCATTTACCACTTCTGCAAGCAGGCCAAGAAGTGCGGTGTCGACATCTTCCGTGTTTTCGATGCTCTAAACGACGTTGACCAGCTCGAGGTTGGTATCAAGGCTGTGCAGGCCGCCGAGGGTGTCGTCGAGGCTACCATCTGCTACAGCGGAGACATGTTGAACCCCAAGAAGAAGTACAACCTCGAGTACTACCTGGCGTTGGTGGACAAGATTGTCAAGTTCAACCCCCACATTCTCGGTATCAAGGATATGGCTGGTGTGCTGAAGCCCCAGGCCGCACGCCTGCTGGTTGGCTCCATCCGTGAGCGCTACCCCGACCTTCCCATCCACGTCCACACCCACGACTCCGCCGGTACCGGTGTTGCCTCCATGGTTGCCTGCGCTCAGGCCGGTGCTGATGCCGTCGACGCTGCCACCGACAGCATGTCCGGTATGACATCTCAGCCCAGCGTTGGTGCTATCCTTGCCTCTCTCGAGGGTACCGAGCACGACCCCAAGCTCAATCGGGCCCATGTTCGTGCCATTGACTCCTATTGGCAACAGCTGCGCTTGCTGTACTCGCCGTTTGAGGCTGGTCTGACCGGCCCCGACCCTGAGGTCTACGAGCACGAAATTCCCGGTGGTCAGCTGACCAACCTCCTCTTCCAGGCCAGTCAGCTCGGCCTGGGTCAGCAGTGGGCCGAGACCAAGAAGGCTTATGAGTCGGCCAACGACCTGCTCGGCGACATTGTCAAGGTCACTCCCACCTCCAAGGTTGTCGGTGACCTGGCTCAGTTCATGGTCTCCAACAAGCTGACTCCCGAGGACGTTGTCGCGCGTGCTGGCGAGCTGGACTTCCCCGGCTCTGTTCTTGAATTCCTCGAGGGACTTATGGGCCAGCCCTTCGGTGGCTTCCCCGAGCCTCTGCGATCCAAGGCTCTGCGTGACCGCCGCAAGCTCGACAAGCGCCCCGGTCTCTACCTGGAGCCTCTGGACCTGGCCAAGATCAAGAACCAGATTCGGGAGAAGTATGGCTCAGCCACCGAGTACGACGTGGCCAGTTACGCCATGTACCCCAAGGTCTTTGAGGACTACAAGAAGTTCGTGCAGAAGTTTGGTGATCTCTCCATCCTGCCTACCCGCTACTTCTTGGCCAAGCCCGAGATCGGCGAGGAATTCCACGTCGAGCTGGAGCAGGGTAAGGTCCTGATCCTCAAGTTGCTGGCTATCGGCCCTCTGTCCGAGCAGACCGGTCAGCGTGAAGTCTTCTACGAGGTCAATGGTGAGGTCCGTCAGGTCACCGTTGACGACAACAAGGCCTCTGTCGACAACACCGCCCGCCCCAAGGCCGACATTGGCGACAGCAGCCAAATCGGTGCTCCCATGAGCGGTGTCGTCGTTGAAATCCGTGTCCACGAGGGCTCGGAGGTCAAGAAGGGTGACCCCGTTGCCGTTCTGAGCGCCATGAAGATGGTGAGTCTCACATCTCTTGCGCAAATACTACGATGTCAAAACAAGCTAATGGAATTACTAGGAAATGGTTATCTCTGCTCCTCACAGCGGAAAGGTCTCCGGCCTGCTCGTCAAGGAGGGTGATTCCGTCGATGGCCAGGACCTCATCTGTAAGATCGCCAAGGCCTAGATCGAAATTACGAATGAATGAGGTTCTGTTGTCCTGTATACAGGCCGCGTCCACGGCTTATTGTATGGAGATATGAAAATGGGAATGTCTTTTCTGATGTCTGCTTAGAGCGTTTGATATATGGGTTGGGGTTTATTGTCGGTTGTTTCTATATCTGTCAACGAATCTATTTCTGAGCACAATTGAAGGTGCTGTTTCAAATTCTAAAAATTGGTCACATATGTAGTTGCCATCTCGAATGCATCTACTCGAAGTGTGCCGGAATATGGAAGTGTCATAATAGTTTGGCAGGCCTGGGTGGTCCAATTCGGACAAAAGTCAAGTCACAGACGGACAGTATACAGCACATGGATTAACATCCAACGATCCCTGTCATCTCGTCAGAGTTTCGCAGACGTAGCGCCGTCGCCGGGCCCCCACCTCTCCTAACGCCCTCCGACCCGCATGGCATCGTCCCACAGACCGTCCTCGCAGATCTGGACCGACCCGTCCGGCCTGAGAGTCCTCACCTGCCGGTAATCCCCCGTTCCTCAGCCGATATCCGCATCCGCATCGCCCCGGACAAAACCTCGTGAGCGGGTCGATGAACGCCTCCCGCACCATGGGCTTCTCTCCTCCGCTTGCAGCGCCTCCCCGTTGCCCCAGAACCAGAGGTATTGGTCTGTTGCGTGCGTGACGCCCCACGAGGGCGGGATCGTCCGGTCCGCGTACCGCAGCCGTTTCTCGATGCCGTAGCGGTAGAGTAGATGGCCTGCGTTGCCTGCGTTGCCGGCGGCGAGGGCGCGCATGAGCCCCGCGCTGCGTCTTGTGGACCTGCATGTCGGCGTAGATCAGGCCGAAGGCATCGGGTGTGCCAGTTTTCGCAGGCGAGGGGGAAGTTGGCCATGTGGACAGTAGATTTTGATTAGGGCGTCGGCGATGTGACGGGGGTAGTCGGCTTGGACACGGCGGTGGAGGGATTGTAGGGTGTTGCTTTGCGGCGGGTGCAATGTTGCGTAGAGGGATCGTTCGTCGCGGCATTCGCTGAGCATGTTTCGGATGTTTCGGGCTGCGAGCTTGCGGGCGAAGGTGCCGTTGTCCAAGGGACTTGAAGGGAGATGGGTCTATGAAGGTGCTGTCGCTTGTTGGGCGGAACAAATGCAGCTCGATGCTGGTTACTGCGTCGAGCAGGGTCTTGGCTGGGGTAGAGCGGAGACGGGACAGTTTTTTCTGTCCAGGGCAGGGACGAGGGATACTGAGGGCGGACAGAAGCTGGTTGAACTGGAGCTGCGCTGCTGCTTCATTTTTGGGCTGGACGCCAGGCGAGTTGGACCAGATGCAGGCTTGTTTTATGAGAGATTGTGCTTGGAGGGAGTTGTAGGTCGTAGGCCAGCCGATAGAATACCGAGTAGCTCCTGGTACACAAGAAATGAGGATAGATATTTGAAACGTTGAAGGAGACTCACCAGCCGAATAACCAGATATGGTGACCTGCAATGGGTTGCCTCCAAAGAGAGTGATGTTGTCTCTGGTCCACTCTAGCGCTAGACGCTGATCCCAGAAGCCATGGTTTCCCACAGTCTCTCCTACAGAGCCCGGCGTCTTGTCCAATCTCGGAAGGAGAAAGTTAAACCAAAGACTCCTAGACGATATGCAGGCATAACTATGATGGCATTGAAGTCCGTCTCACCCAGAAGAGCTGCCGCCGAGAAGGTGTTTGGCGTACCAAACTGGAGAAAGCGGCCGTCTAAGACGCGGAAAGGGTTAATAAAATGTCCATCAAGAGTATGATCTGTCCCTTATGATAGCTATAGAAGACCTACGAAGAAAGACAAAAACAGGCCATCCTGTCCGCTGTCAGCCAACCAGTCAGGACAGTGTTCAAGATGGTACATAGGTCTTAGCTGACAGACCTTCCTTGGGAGGTTCTGCTTCATGAACCCACACATTACACTGGAAGCAATCCTCGGTCCATTCATCTCTAAAAGAAACGTTCATAAACGAAGGTTGCGGACAGACGCCTGAAAGCCTGTCACACTGACCGGGCTGATCCCGGGTGCCATAGGCGTAATCCGAAGGCAGTCTCTGGGTTCTACGCCATCGCTGAGACGGAGCTAAGCCATAGCGAATGCCACCAGAGAAGCGACAAAGGGGGGTGTTTGTCAGCTGAGCTAGCAGGGAAAATACATCCAAGCGAACGAATCTCGAAGCGATATGAGTCAAGATGGATGTGAGTTCATCGGCAAGAGCGACGAGAGAGCCGACGGAGTCGACTTTCATCGCAGCCGACAGCTTTGGCCGGTCTTTGCGGGGAAAGTAACAACATTCCGCGTCGGCGCCAGAACTGGAGGCCGATTTATGCCTGAGGCATCAAAAATGGGTGTGCTCCTGATCCGATCTGAGATAAAGAGTTCGATGAGCTTATCGCAAGCAGAAACAGTATCAACTATCAATAGACATGAGACGCGATGGAATCACTTTATCAGATGAACGTCTATTCCATGCGCAATTGAGTCCGTTCCCTACAATATGATTCCATGGATGGATCGATCGAGGTTCCCCCGCATCAAGAAGGAATCTTGACGTCAAGCCATCACGAGATCACCTCGCCCGACCGCAGATACTCTGCTGTCTTTTACATCGAGACTTACTTTGCTGAACCGAAGATTCCGGAGTCTGACTGAGCATGGATGATCATCCCTCAGCGATGATTCGCCTAGAGCATGTCCATCAGTGCTGCCATCGGCAGACCTGGACGCTTCTGCGAAGATGATGAATCATCGTACCAATCCTTCGTCGACACCAATTTCTCGGATGACCAGCTGCGAGCCACCATTTGATCAATCCATTTTCTTATTTGCCCCAGTTAAGCTCCTGGAAAGGCAATGGAAGCACGATACATCATCCCATCGGAGGTTGTTCCACTGCTTTAGGGAAGCTAGGTAGGTAGCTTACCCCTCTCGCCTGGAGACGCCTCCCTTGGCCAGGCAGGAAGAGTCGGCTATATATACACCAATCAGTCATGGCCTGTCACAAGAAGAGCAGACAAACTTTCATAACGTTTGGTGAGTGAGTGATGTCCTTCTAGTATCTCCATTTGCCATCTTTGTAATCCCCGGAAGGTTGTGTGACATCTTGATTATTCACTGGGTTTATCTAGACATTTCTGAAGCTGTTACTATTTATTAGATCGCCTCGCTCTGATTGCTCTTAGTTCCAAGAATAGCACTGAGCTGATTGATACTGGAGCGTTGCCTAATTTATCACACTTACTAGGAACCGCTATCTTGACAACAACCTCTCGCAACCCTCAGTCAATAAATACAAAATGAGCAACGGGTCCGAACCTCCAAAACGCCACTGGCATGGAACTGTAGGTGACCGCTACGAACAGCTCAATGTCTGGGTTAGAGGCGGCGCTATCCAGACGCTGCCCGGTAGAAGACCCTCTACCGATGTGAACGACAGACATGTACGTCTGACAGGTTTCTTAGAAACTACCGTTCAAACAATTCCTCTCGTCATCAACCCTGTTTTTGTGTCTTTCAGTGCTAACGTGCATAGGACTCAACGTCGTCCGAGTCGTCCACCGCTTCTGCCCATGGAGCAAGTCCTCCACGCAATGGGAGCGGGGAGCGGAGACGGTCAAGCACAGGTCTCTTTGAAGGCTTGACGAGCACGAAGCGGAATGCCACTGATCCTAGCGTGGCTGCTCGTCGGCAGAGTTGGTTGGAGCAGTCTGAGCAGGGTGGCTACCTCTCGAAGCTCTGGAATACGTACACCAGGGGCGGCCGTTGATTGAGCCGATATGGCCGTGAAGGAAAGAAAGGGAAATTGGAATTGTCTTGGACATGTTAAAGCAATGCATACGGACCATGTCAATATCACGAAGATGGTCATCAGAATGGAGATTCACTGCCTTCCCTGTTACAGTGTCGTTCAGTATAATTGCGCTGCTGATTCTGAGGAAAGAGCGAGTCAATATCGTGGATTCCTGAGTAGCATTGCCTATTGCTGCATGTCCTATATCGTAGCCCATACCATATTCAGCATGCACCAGGAGACAGCGGTGTGCAATTGCCGTTCCCGGGATCAGGTTGTCGTATACCCCGTCAATATAGAATTGCCGTAAAGCAAGATGATGCTGATAAGTTGGCTAAGTACTACGGGCCTTTACGAGCGTCTACACAGTGCAAGAACACCCTACGATGGACAGCCTACGCCAGTGCTAGAAGGGCGTCCGTTCTGATACCAGTGTGGTATCAGAAGAGGGTTGGGTGACCCAAGTCCTGCGACTTCAACCCTTGGACAGCCCACATAATGACATAACCAAAAGTGTTCCTTGAAAGAAAGCACTCGGCTGAAAGTCATCGATCCCACGGCCAGGAACATCCCATGAGCAGCCCATGGATTCATGGGAGCATCATGTCAAACTTTTCAACAATGGTTATGCGGAAAACATCACCCTTTGTGAAGCCTTCATTGTGAAAAGTGGATGCGTTTTTTGAAATTGTGGATTGATATTCCTAGCACGCCTATCCATATGCCGTGGTAGAGAGAAGCATTTCAGAGCAGAGCGGCAATGTAGAGAAACGCCCGCCTTTTTTATCGATTCATCATAAAACACACAACCCCAAAGCGGCCCCTTCGCAGACCCATGGACGGAATATTTACCGGACAATGCCGTCGAAGCGGTTCTTGAACCACTTGATGGTCTCAGCCTGGGTGATCTTGTGGTTGGAACCGATGCTAGACTTGCAGCGGCGGCGCTTGGCAACACGCTCACCAGGGCGGGTCCTATAAAAGACACAATTGTCAGCCATGGACTTGACTGGCAGTCCAGGGGGAAGCCAAATCTAGAACCGAGGGCCACTCACATGCAGCAGTAGAAGTCCATACCGTAGATACCGATACCAGGGTCGTACTTGATACCGAGATCGATGTGCTCGCTGATACCGAAGCCGAAGTTGCCGGTCTCGGAGAAGTTCTTCTTTCTCAGCTCGTATTCCTTGACCTTGAGGCCACGCTCGAGGATCTCCTCGGCCTTGGGGCCACGGACGGTAACGTGGACGGCAATCTTTTCGTTACGACGGATACCGAAGGTACGGACAGTGTAGCGAGCCTTGCCTATAGTTGAAAAAAGAGTTGTCCCATCAGCCATACTGTTCCCATGACTGTGATTCGTCTTCTTGCTCCTTCCATCTTCCCCCCTCTTCGTCGTCCCAACGGCATCCAGAAAAAGGGATTCAAAATCAGATTCGGGCGTCCTTACTGTAGACTGGAGTCTGACCGCTCAGCTGCTCGAGCACCTTAGCAGCACGGGTAAGTCTGTCACCAGACTCGCCAACACTGATGTTGAGCACGAGCTTCTGGATGCGCAGCTCGCGCATGGGGTTTGCGCTCTTGTCCTTTCCGTCCGACTGCATGGCGATAAATTGTTAGAAAAAAAATATTGTCCTTCTTCCTCGATTGCAGTGGGTTTTGTAGGGAAAACTGGCAACATACCATGGCGACTGCTTTTGGCGTTAGATTGGTCGACTCGTTGAGTGGAAGAATCGAAGGTTCGAAAAGTGTGCAAAAGTGTATGTGTGGGTTGGTGTGGGAAGCGAGAGCCCTTAGCGTCTTGGCATGGTCGTTTGGCGCTAAGCGCAGAGCCGCGTCTCGATCACGACTCCGGCTCCCGTGCCAGCGGAATGATAGAGTCGGAGAGCCTGCTTTAGCTGGATTCTCCATTACCTATCTACGGGCACATAAGCTCAAAAAAGTGAATGATCGAGTAGAGGAGTCCATCTTCTACTGTCTCACTACATTCTTTGGTTTTATTCCCAAGTCGCATTCGTGCGCATTGCCCAGCCAACATGGCCGCCAACAAGCAGGGCAAGATGGTAAGTTTTCGTCATGCTGTTCTTTTGGTCGTTTCTCTTGTTGAAGACGATGTTTCTACGGTATTTCATAGCTGACACTCCGCTCTTTTGCAGCAAAACCTCGTAAGTCATTGATTCGATGACTCTTCTAGAGCTCCCATCCCACCGAGTCTAACATTCTTGCAGATCAACTATCGGATGAGGATTACCCTGACCGACGGCCGACAGATGACGGGACAAATGCTCGCCTTCGATAAGGTGAATTCTACCAGGCGTTTTTCGGCTCATATACATGTAGCTAACGACAAGCCTTTTGTTTTTATAGCACATGAACCTCGTACTCGCAGACACAGAAGAATTCCGCCGCGTCAAGCGGAAGTCCAAGCCCGCTGCTGGACCGTCAAACGCTCCCCTGGTCGAAGCGGAAGAGAAGCGGACTCTCGGTCTCACAATCGTGCGCGGTACTCACGTCGTTTCCTGCTCCGTTGATGGCCCACCTCCCGCCGAACCCTCCGCGCGACTTGGAACAGGTGCGCCCGGTGCAGCTGCAGCTGCCACTCTTGCTGCTGGCCCAGGAATAAGCAAGCCCGCTGGACGAGGTCTTCCTGTCGGCCTGGGAGGCCCTGTTGCTGGCGTTGGAGGACCACCACCGCCCCCTGGCGGCTTCGGTGGTTTCCCACCCGGTGGATTCCCTGGAGCACCTCCTCCGGGATTTGTTGGCCGTGGAGGACCCCCTGGTGGACCTCGTAAGTTCTTTTTTGTTGAAGAGTTTTCGGTTCCAAGCGCGAAACTAACAATCTGTTCCTAGCTGGCTTCGGACCCCCACCTGGATTTGCGCCTCAAGGTGGTCCTCGTAAGTTTTCAATACTTCTCAGTATGGGTTACCTCTTTGTTAACTGAGTTTAATGCAGCTGGTGCTTTCCAGCCTCCACCAGGCTTCCAACCTCCCGGTCAGGGCCGGGGTTTCCCTCCTCCAGGCTTTGGTGGTAGATGATTAATTGATTTCCGGAACGGCACGATGGCATACAATATCCCGGCCGTCCATTGAGCACGGCAAGATTTTGAGGCTAGGAAAAGGAAAAAGGACTCGCCATGATTTCAAGTCTATCCGACAAATAGATACAGCACACATCTCTACCAGGCAAACGGCGTTGCGGCGTGTGCGGATACTGGAAATGTCCCGACGAAGAACGAATCAACTCCAGGAAGTTGGTCTAGGATCGATAAGCAGTAATGCTAAATATGTCTAAAGTACCGATACACTAGTCAATTCATAATATGTCTTCTCAAATGTTTCTTTAAAACAACTTCGCTTGAAGCTGTAGTCATATCAAGTAAAGTCTCACGTGACATCCGGTTAACTCCGCGCTGTGATTCCGTGGTCGGGGAACGGTAACAAAACGTGCCTGGTTAGCAAGCCTGGATACTTGTCGTTAGACCATTACCCCTGCCTTTCGAATAATTTGTTCAACATGGCCGCTGCAATCAAGGCGATCAATGCTAAGATCCGTTCCAACAAGGTTCTGGATTATGTCTGCTCAACACGTACGTACAATGCCTCACGTCGACGCTGTCGCCCGAGATCGGCCTGCCCTGGACGGCGGCGACGGTACCCATGAAAGCGCATTCAGGTTTCTGATGCCTTTTCATAATCGATCTCGGGATGATGTTTTGTTCTGACGGGATAATGTGCACGAAAATCGCTGACGAAGCTTTGCCAATGCAGACTTCTGGGGCCCTGCCTCGAACTTTGGTATCCCCATTGCAGCTGTGATGGACACTCAAAAGGACCCTGAAATGTACGTCGTCATCGCACCCAGTTCTGAGCCTCGCGATATTTCATTGAACCCCCTATCTCGCACTGGAATGCCACTATGTCGCGTTGAACCTCTCACCTACTCTGCATCTCCTGCGCGGATACGAGTCAACTCGCTCAACTAATACTCGAACAGTATCTCCGGACAGATGACCGCTGCGCTCACAGTCTACTCCGCAACCTTCATGCGTTACTCCCTCGCTGTCTCTCCCAAGAACTACCTCCTCTTCGCCTGCCATTTCATCAACTGCTCCGCTCAGATGACTCAAGGATACCGGTACCTGAACTACTGGAAGTACGTCCTCTACCCGCCTTCCTCGAACCTGCTGCCTCCTGTTCTTAATCTTCTCTCAACACAATTACAGAGTGCATAACTGACAACCTTTCTCAAATCTAGCTGGGGAGGCCGGGAAGCCAAGCTCGCAGAGGCCGCCAAGCAGGGCAAGGAAGCCACCGAAGCCGGCGCATAAACGATGTGATTCCCCCGTTTTAATCGCGTGTTTCTTGGTTGCTCCCGGGTGGATGCCGTCCCTATATAATCTCCCTCTTTCTCAGCAGTATTTAGACCTACTCCAGACGAATGCAAAAATGGAAATTTCGAGTGTCGACTCGTTCGAGGATTACCCGACGGCTTCTATCCAGCAGAGAATAAGTTTGTAACCCTGATCGACTGTGCTACATGGATGAGATGGTCGGGTACTCCTGGAGGCTGTACATAGTCTTTCTTGCAGAAAATGAATGCTTTGCACTGCCACTTCTTGGCTGTTTTGATAGTCTCGGCAGTGTGACTCACTGAGAGCTCGATCTCGGGAGATTTAGCAGTGCTTGTCGAATCTGAGTCCGAGCTCATCAATTGGTCTAATATCTCGCTTGTTACTAGCAACCTTTACGCAAGGCTGCTAGACTCTAGTGACATAATGATCTAACTATTGACACACATGGCTGAAGTGCATATGCAGGCTTGCTCGAACGTGACCAAGGAGTATAATGACAGAAGAATGATATGAATCGCTTGCTCTCTAATCAAAGTGCCGAGCAGCAGTGGATCGTCGTCTCATATCTAAAAAGGTCTCGTACACCAAAAGAACAGTCGCAATAGCAACTTGTCTCGATATGCAAATCACGAGTCGCAGTATCCTGGAGGCTTGGTGTTGTCAGAGTTCACCCAGTTGTGGAGTGTCAATGAGGTAGTATATATGCAGGAAATGACTCCAAAGCAGGAAAGAGCGATATCGGCGATCTGCTGGCGTCTTGATTGCGCACAAGCTCTGAGATGAAGGAGCGGCTGTTGGAGCAAGAGTCAGTAACTTCAGACAAAGCTTCAGGAGTTCTAGTTGCTAGAGACATACCGGGTATACGTAAATCAAAGGAACACAGGCGAAGCTGCCGACGAGTGAGACAAATTTGTCAAGGTCATCCGCTCCGCCCCAAGCAACAAACGCGCAAATCATGACCAGAAAGAAGCGGAAGCAGTTTTTCTTCCACTTGATCCCGGGGTTATACTTGCCACTGCGAGTGAAAAGTTCATTTTCCATGATTCGAATGGCGGGGAATAGTTGTAGGGCGTGCTCAGCAGGATTGCTAGAGAATACAGAAATTGGACCGCATTCACGAATTTATCATCCTGAGGAAGATTGAGAAGGACCACAGTTTGCGTCGCGGAGCCATAGGCTGCATAGCTGAGAGCACCAGCAGAGAGGAAGACAATGGTAATGAGGACCATGACACCGGCAAGGACGCCTGGGAACCGACGAGGTTCCTTCATTGACTCCTGAATCGGGATAATCAAACCAATCCCTTCGTAGGTGAAAATGGCAGTGCCAATGAAAAGAGTCCATGTGGATGGGTTGAATGACTTGACATCCGAAACTCCACCTTGCGAAACGATAGTGGCAACGTCGTAGTAATAGATATATATGAGGCCCAGTAGAATAAACACATCTGCCACAAGTGCGGTGAAACCCAACTTCCCAATGTCACGAATTAGCGAAAGAGGCAGAAATATGACCAATTGCATCAGCACCATGAACTTGATGTCGATGAACGACTTGCATTTGCTGACAGCCAGGACGAATGCCTGGAGGTTCTCAGCAGTGAAGACGATGTATGCCGAGACAAATCCCAGTTGACTGAGAACAATAGATCCGAGGATGATCCGGCGCATATGTTTTCCAAAGAGAGCACCACCAATGTCACCGAAGGAGCCTTCGATCTTCAAGCGGGTGTTGACCAGAAGGATGAAGCAGTAGAAGCTGAGTATGGATACAGCAAGCAAAACCAAACTGCTGAATAACATCCCACCATTCAGGAAAGCCCTTGGCAAGAAGAGAACACCTGTGCCGACAAACGATTTGAGTAGAAGTAGAGCAGCTCCTGTCGTTGTGTTGGTTCCCGTTCCACCGCGCGGTTTTGGTTTACGCTTCCTTCGGCCAGGAGTTTCTGGTCGGAGCAAAGCCGAGTCTTCCCCTGGTTCTCTGTCTTCTGCTTCGTCCCAGGGTTCTGAGGAGAAATACTCATCGGGCCCTAGAACCTCGTCGTCCTCTTCTAGCTCTTCTCCCGCGAAGTGACCGTACAGGGTAAGAAACTCCAGGAAGCTGCTGGTATGGAGCTGATGATAAGTCGCTGACGCTCCTGCGCGGCCATCGGTACTTCCAGGATGAGGACTGCCTGCAGTCCTTCGTATGTAGTCTCTTCTGAAACCTCCTGGGACCCGGATGGTATTGATGTCCATGGTTTCCTCCTCCGGCGTAGGTCTACTGAGACTGAAACTCTTACTTCGTAGATGTCTTCGAACAGAATTTCCGGCTTCGGCATCCTCAGCCCACCTATAAACCTGTCTTGTAATGTCTCCTCCCTGCAATTGCAAGCTAGAGAATTCATCGTCGGCGTTGCTTGCCATGTCCCTGAAGTTATTGGATTCGACAGCATTCTGCGGTTGCACGAGGTGTCTCTTCACAACCTCAGGATCCTCATATGGCGCACTTGAATATATGGAGCCTTCCCTTCCTATTTTATTGTCAAATGAACCATAATTTGACCTCACTGGCTGATTCAGTAAGGCGGGAGAGTCGGTTCGTCTCGGTGGAGTTCCAAGTCTCGGAGGTGAGCGACCAAGACTTTCCTGAAGCGCAGATGCGATCATAGACTGTCCTGGGCCTGGTAGCGAGGCTGGATTATCCACCCGGCGGAGTTCCTGTCCGTTACCTGTCGTAGACTGGTTTGGTATAGGTACTTGTCTGGATGAATATGAGGTTGATAGGGAAGGAACTGGCGAAGCTAGTCGTGCAATAGAGGCATGTCTTGACCCAACGTCTGCTGCAGGAGATTCCGAACGCTTAGCTGGAGTTGACATAGGAGTCGAGCGATTTGGTTGATATGATGGTCCCTCCCCATTGTCGGTTCTCCCCGATGATGCCATTTTCGCAATGGACTAGGCAAGCTGTAGATGAGAAGATAAGAAGTTGAGAGGTTGAGTGGAACCGGCACAACTCAGTATAAAGCCTCGGCCAACGCGAGGAGTGTTCACAAGCAGTGAGGCAGCGTAGACGAGGGAATGCGATTTGGGCGTAAAATAAGGGTGTATTTTGTAGTGGTCGTATTTTCCGCCCGGCTGTATTTTCCACCGAAGCGATGCCTTGTTTGTATAAAGATATCTTGATGGTTATATCAATGAAGAGTGGTAGTAGTATCCATCCTTCGTTCTCCTCATATAGAGAGGTAGATGAGTATAATAACAGCCAACGGAAGAAGGACGTATGGGACTGTGCCTGGTGACTAACGAGGAATTTGCACTGTTTGTCTTCTTCCCTGTGTGAGGTCATTGCCGATCTTCCAAGCATTGCGGTTTGCAGCGATGCCAAGTCAATTGCTTCATTCTGAGCTCGATTTTGCCGGATTTTCGAATCTTTGAACGCACCAATGCTTTTGAACAAGTATAACGCTTTATAATAATAACATGTTGCCGTTCCATCTTCGCGTGAGGCTTCATTGTTGATACACCCTTCCGTTGTGATCCTCGGCTGCGACCAGTGTGCTATTGAAGGGGTGGGGACCACACTGCGATAAAGTGTAGGATCGTGTCTTTGATGAACGACGGACCAAACAAAAGCAAATTGGGGTCGATGTCCAGACGAAGGCCGAACTTTTCCACACGAACTGCTGAAGAAGATGTGTCCAGGTTGGATCCAAACGACCCAGCCCAGGCATCTCCTGAGGCGAACAGCAGGCTCCTCGATTCGAGGACTACTCTCTCGCCCCGTCCCTATGAGCCGCTGAATGCCTCTTCGCGAAGGTCAGATAATCAGCGTCATCCGTCATCGACCGGTCTTTTCAGCAGTATCTCTCGTCGGTGGCACCACCGAGACGGTGGGAGCCAGGATTCCAGGGCGGACAATATGGCAGCCAATGTCTCCCACTCTGCAGGGCCGCGGAGAGACTCGAGTCCTGATAAGAAGGAAAAAAATGCATCAGCACATCGTGCATCGGAGACTGCACATAAGCTTGGGACATTTTCTGGAGTCTTCGTGCCGACAACGCTGAATGTGCTCAGTATCCTGATGTTCCTTCGGTTTGGGTTCGTCCTCGGGCAGGCTGGCTTACTTGGGATGCTAGGTCTGTATATGCTGTCTTGGAAAACTTCCTCCGTTTAGAAAGACTGCTAACGAACGCAGGACTCCTTGTTGCCTCTTATACAATCAACCTGGTAACGACAATGTCTCTCTCCGCCATCGCAACGAACGGCACCGTAAGAGGAGGCGGCGCATATTATCTGATTTCCCGATCACTAGGACCTGAATTTGGTGGCTCGATTGGAATCGTATTCTACCTAGGCTATGTCTTGAATACTGGCATGAATGCTGTCGGTCTCGTTGACTGTTTCACTCAGAATTTTGGCACGGAATCGGGCAATTGGGCCAATTTCCTGGAAGAAGGATTCTGGTGGCAGTATCTATGGGGAACTGTCGTCTTGGTTCTATGCACTGCAATATGCTTCGCCGGGAGCTCCATGTTCGCGAGGGCTAGTAACGGACTGCTAGTCATTCTACTGGTGGCGACATTCAGCATCCCAGTTTCCGTGATTGCCATGAAACCTTTCAGTAATCCCAAGTTGAGCATTGAATTCACTGGCATTCGGCTGCAGACATTGCTGGAGAACCTGAAGCCTAGGCTCACCAAGGGTGCCGCTGGTAGCCAAATCCATGGACGAGAAAATTTCCAGGACCTCTTCGGAATCTTGTTCCCTGCTACAGGCGGAATATTTGCGGGTGCCAGTATGTCGGGTGACTTGAAGAATCCTAGCAAGTCGATACCCAAGGGGACACTTTATGGACTCGCACTGACTTTCGTCACTTACACGCTTGTGATCCTGGCAATGGCTGCCTCAATAACCAGAGAGTCGTTCTACAAAAATACCAGCGTCCTCCAGCTGGTCAATGTTTCCGGTGTCGTTATCCTGCTGGGGAGTTTGCAACGTCGTTCTTCTCCTCTTTGATGGGAGTCATTGGCTCTGCGAAACTCCTCCAGGCCATTGCGCGCGACAGTCTTCTTCCTGGGCTGAGTCTTTTTGGCAAAGGCAGCAAGAAGAGTGACGACCCGGTGTATGCTATAATTTTGACTTTTGTATTCGCACAGCTTACAATGCTTTTCGATATCAACCAGATCGCATCCTTTGTTACCATGACGTACCTGATGACATTTTTAGTTACGAACTTAGCGTGCTTTCTTCTGAAAATCGGCTCCGCGCCCAATTTTCGACCGTCTTTCCACTACTTCAACTGGCAGACTGCGGCAGCCGGAACTTTGGTGTGCGGTGGCAGCATGTTCTTTGTGGATGGACTCTATGCCACCGGCTGTGTTGGCATTCTCATTGTGCTGTTCTTGCTGATTCATTACTCCTCGCCTCCAAAGTCATGGGGAGATGTTAGCCAAAGCTTGATCTACCACCAGGTCCGCAAGTATTTGCTTCGCCTTCGTCAGGAACATGTCAAATTCTGGCGGCCTCAGATTCTGCTTTTCGTGACCAGTCTTGATGAACAGTACAAGATGGTCTCTTTCTGCAACTCACTGAAGAAAGGAGCGTTGTTTGTGCTGGGCCACGTGCTTGTGACGGATGACTTCTCTGCCGCAGTGCCAGAAGCTCGTCGTCAGCAAAGTGCATGGACAAAGTTGGTTGAGTACTCTCGAGTCAAGGCCTTTGTCAACATTGCCGTGGCTCCGACTGTTGAGTGGGGCGTCAGAAATGTCGTTCTGAATTCTGGACTTGGAGGGATGAGGCCCAACATCGTGGTTATCGATCAGTTTCGGAAAGGTCAGTCGCTTGCTGAAGTCTTGCAGCTTCCCGGTCACAGAAAAGACTCTACGAACAGCAAACGCAACTCTCGCGAGACGCATGGCGAGTCATCTGAGAATGAGGCGCAAGGCCTGTCTATGAGCTGCAGAAGCTATGTGACTATACTCGAGGATCTTCTCTTCAAGCTCCGCATTAATGTCGCCGTGGCAAAAGGATTCGAGGATCTCGAGCTTCCAAGCCCGGATGGACAGCATACAAAGAAGTATATCGATCTGTGGCCTATTCAGATGTCGGCCGAGCTTGGCGCAGACAATGAAAGCAAACAAAATGTCCTCACGACTAACTTTGATACATACACTCTCATCCTTCAGCTAGGATGCATTCTAAACACGGTCCCCTCGTGGAAGAAGACGTATAAGCTTCGGGTGGCGGTATTTGTGGAATACGAGACCGACGTTGAAGACGAGCGCCGAAGGGTTGAAGCTCTCCTTGAGAAACTTCGAATCGAGGCGGAAGTCCTAGTCTTCTGGCTTGCATGTGGCGAGTTGAAAGCGTATCGCATCATTGTCAACGGTGACATGAGCCCGGATACCAAGGAAGCCCAGGACCGTGTTCACGCTGTGCTGGAGCATGAAGACTGGTGGCAGGAGCTACGGCAGTTCCGCAATAACTCGAAAGATTCCCAGGAGACACCGGTCCAATTAAGCGTCGCGAGCCTACCGGAAAGAATGTCGAGCTGGAGTGGGGCATCAAGCCACGAAATGACAAGGTCGCAGAGTCAAATGGCTGGTGGACTGAGGAGATTTATCCAGTCCCGGCGGCGGCGATCTATATCGAGTTTTAAAGGGCTTGGAGGGGTCAGTCTAGGCATGAAGACGCATCGCCTGCTTGATTCACTCGTTCATTACGACAGCAGTGCAAGCGAGAGTAGCAGTGATAGCGAATTTGAGCCGTACGCTAGTGACGACGACGACGACGGAGAAGAGAGGTCCCCAGAGACTGATGATCATAATTCACAAAGTCATGAAGCTGTGACTTCGCCTAAGCCGGATCAGATGTCACCTCAGGAGGTTACAGTCAGGCAGGATATTCCATCCATCATCACTACGGGCGAAGAGGAGGCATCTCCCAAGAGCAAAGTTGGGCTTATCCGGCCACCCATCAGCCGCTCACCATCTAGCACCCGATTCTCCTCCTCGCCCATACCTGAAGCAAGAGTCAGCACAGAGGAAAACGCGGGCCCGTCCATCATGTTTGCGCCAAGCTCATCGCCTCCTCGCTTTGCGAACCGGTTGGAATCAATCTACACGCGACGTTCCTCCTCCGGGGCCAGAAGTGCTTCGGGATATCCCAACCAGGCGTCTGTTCCTCTGTCATTTGATGATCTTCCCAGTCGTGCGCAGCACCTGATCCTTAACGAACTGATGGCCAGGCAAAGCAGTCAGACGGCCGTCATCTTCACGACCTTGCCTTCCCCGTCCGAGGGTACCGCGGAAAGCGAAGAGACAAGCGAGTCTTACCTGAGTGACTTGGAGGTTCTGTGGCAAGGACTGCCGCCCTGCCTGTTGGTCCACAGCAATAGTATGACCGTGACGATGAACCTGTGATGATCTATTAGATTTCCAGTGATATGCTTTGAAGCGCTGCACATATACTAGGCGACATGATTCATTCAATACAGCTAGCACAATAACATAGATTATAATTGACTAAGATGACTGTTCTGTCAGATCTCTTCCAATTTTTACTATTATTATCTTGACCGAAAAGGTTTAGAAGAGACGAAGGCCAGGTATCAGCACAGCTGAAGGATGAGGCGTGTTTGGTCTCGTAATCTTAGGGTAATCACATTACACATGCATGTCAGCAGCACAAAAAAAGGAAACTGTATTCTTTGACAGAAGCTGACAGAAGCGAGATTCTGACAATAAGAAGAAATGAAAGGAAACCAGTTACTATTATTCTCATTCTCTAAAGTCATCAAAAATAGATTTCTATTGAGAAATCTACCTACTTTGGGGGGACTCCGTAACAAATGACAATTTGCCTGCGTATTATTGGGCCACAGCGCAGAGTCTGGGTCATCTCCGAGTGTTTCCCGTTATTACCGTATCTAGAGTAAGGTAGTAGTGCTGTACCCCTCGGTACATAGATAAATCAATAAAAATAAAGTACGCTGGGATGTTTTTATCGCTCATCGCCAATTGAACTGCTCTCGTTATTTCTTACCCTCCCTTCGTTCTCATTCTAATCCATTGGACTAATTTCTCTACTATTATTAATATTTTTTTTTTACATTGTGCACGCGAAGACTATTCCAGTCGCTTATCCCTTGTAATTCTCTTTCGTCATAATCCTTCGTCTCGGGACCCCTTTCTCGTCGCATCGCCGATAGCTCGAATGGGCAACCCCCGTGGACGCCGAACGAACGGCAGCATCAAGACCAGCAAGGGTACCCAACGTGGTACAGTGTCCAACCTATTATCAGACCAACCCCTCGCGGCACGACCCAAGGTCTCGATTGTCAGCAACGACGACAGCCAGGACAGTTCTGACGGCGGCGCATCCACGACTCCTTCCACGACCGAATCCACAGTGAAGACCGCTACGGACGCCACGAGAAGAAATATGTTGAGAAAGCCCTCATCGCCAATGGCTCCGGCCTTTATGGTGTCTGCGCCAGGCAAGGTTATCGTCTATGGCGAGCATGCTGTTGTCCACGGCAAGGCAGCCATGGCTGCGGCCATTTCCCTCCGGTCCTACCTTCTCGTCACGACGCTGTCCAAATCGCAGAGGACAATTACAATGAATTTTCGGGATATCGGTCTGGACCATACGTGGAACATTGACGAGCTGCCGTGGGACGTGTTCCACCATCCGTCCAAAAAGAAGTTCTACTACGACCTGGTCACCTCCCTTGATCCGGAACTCGTCGCCGCAATCCAGCCCCACGCCGATGCCGTGTCTCCAGAAAAACCAGAGGACGTGCGCAAGATTCATCGCCGATCCGCGTCCGCGTTCCTTTACCTGTTCCTTTCCCTCGGGTCGCCGCAGAACCCCGGAGCGATCTACACCCTCCGATCCACCATCCCCATCGGCGCAGGTCTCGGCAGCAGCGCCAGCGTCTGCGTCTGTCTGAGCGCTGCGTTACTGCTCCAGATTCGCACCCTGGCTGGTCCCCATCCCGACCAACCTCCCGATGAGGCGGAAGTGCAAATCGAGCGCATCAATCGCTGGGCGTTTGTCGGGGAGATGTGCACGCACGGGAACCCCAGTGGTGTGGACAACACGGTCTCCGCAGGCGGCAAGGCCGTGGTATTCCGACGGGAGGACTACTCCCAGCCACCGACTGTCACTCCGCTCCTTAACTTCCCCGAACTACCTCTCTTACTCGTCGACACACGACAATCCCGCTCAACCGCCGTCGAAGTGGCCAAGGTGGGCAAGCTGAAGGACGATCACCCGGTCGTGACCGACTCCATTCTGGAGGCGATCGACCAGGTGACCCTAGCGGCGCAACAGAAGATCCAGGAAATCAGCACCAATGGTATCTCAGACCGGACGTTGGAAGACCTGGGTACGCTGATCCGCATCAACCACGGCTTCCTCGTATCGCTCGGTGTCTCGCATCCCCGCTTAGAGCGAATCCGCGAGCTTGTCGACTACGCCGACATTGGATGGACAAAGTTGACCGGTGCTGGAGGCGGCGGGTGCGCAATCACGCTTCTCCGTCCGGACATCAAAGAGGAGGCTGTCCGCGAGCTCGAAGAGAAGCTTTCCACCGAAGGATTCGTCAAGTACGAGACGACATTGGGAGGCGACGGCATCGGCGTTCTCTGGCCGGCCGTTCTTCGCAATGGCACCGATGAAGAAGGTGGCGAGGAGATTGACCAGCAGAAGTTCGAGAACGCAGTAGGCCCCGAGGGCATCGAGCGTCTCGTGGGCGTCGGCGTCCAGGAGAAGCGGGAAGGTTGGAAATTCTGGAAACGGTCGCCTCGTTTCTCATGATGCCCTCGGACACTCTGCATCCCTTTTTCTCCCTTTTCTAAAATTTCGGCTTTCCCCCCAGTATGCGTCAGAAGACCTTTTGCATGATATGTCTTTCATCAGCGCTTTTCTCTAACTGTTCTCATTCAGCCAATATCTTTATCTTCGTTCTTGTATCATATTTCAGAACTCGTTATGATGGTGCCTGCTCTTTTCTTGCATGGCGCTTCTTTTTTATCGCTCGCTTCTTCCGCGCCAGTTTATGTTTCAAGTCCTCCATTTTTTAACCGTTGCGTATGCTTGTTTGAGGTCGTCATGGGAGCGTTAACGTCGAGGATTGAGCGCCGAACGAACTTATATATTTTATACAACCAGAGTCCAGGGAATCGCATGAGATAGCCATGAATTGCTATAATTTATAGGTATACAAGTACATCCAATGGTACAATTGAGTCCAAAACACCTGGACGCAAGGCCACTGGCAGTCATGTTCGACAGCCTATTGAACAACGTCGTAGAAATATCGTTAATCTGGTATCACAGGGCGACAGGGCGGCGCGGCCCCCATGTCCTAAGGCTGTCAACCCATCGTCGTTTCCCAGCCCTTCTCAATCATGACATCCATCCAGTATACGTTACTGTCCCCGCATCCATTCGTCTCCACACCTCTTGCACAAGTTGAAGGCAGACGCTGATGGGCTTTGGAGGCAGGACATGCATGAAGGAGGTCAACCGTCCGAGAACGAAGCGGCGCGTCCTGGAAACCTCGATGGCATGCGATGAGAGATGGGGCCCATCTACGTCTAGAGGGATTTCCGTGGGCGTTACACGTGGCAGGCGAAGTTCGCTACTTGATGCGACGAGCAGAAATGGTTGGAGACATCTGGTACGGGATTCGAGGGGAATGGTCTTGAGGCGGGCCAGAGTGGTGAGTGCAAATTCTGACAACCAGCTGCTGTAATAAGACTCTGACTGGGTCGTGCTTGACGCTGCTGGTTCGGACGGCACATTGCTTTCCGGCTGTGCGAAGGGAGAGTCGGAGAACCAGGCCATGCCCTCGAGATTTAGGTCGGGGTCAAAGGAAAAGAAAGGATCGCGCGGACCAGTAGCAGATGATTGTTGGTCTGTCTGCGAAGACAATGCCTGATTGGAAGGAAGTCGATGACGAAGTAGATCGGGGAAAACTCTATACAGCTGCAGGAGACCTGTACAGCGGTACACCTCAGCCATGGTGAGAAGATGCCAAACTGGTGTCTCTTCGTCTCCAGGACTGACGATTTCACCCTCCGTGGGATGAGCGAGACCAAGCAGCCTTTCTTCCAGCTCTCGAGCCCTCGTAATGGCCATCTGCGCTCGGTCGATGTCTGCCTGAGAGGTGAAGTTCCTGGCGCGGACTCTCTTCCTTTCTGCGCGAATTAACCTTCCTACTTCTTGTACGGTGAACTGGGTATCTCGGGCAATCCCCGTCCAAGGATGGGGCACTCGCTGCAGGACGACTGATTCATCGATTCCCGAGGCAGATTTCCCAGACAACACGGCCGAGTCGTCTGCGACAAACGACAGAAGCATCTCCCAGTAGACGAGAGCCTCCTCGAAGAATTGGTGGTTATTACCGCGGTTATGGCTTGCAGTTTCGGCGGCCTTGACATCCAGATGCTTGCGAAGGAGGTTGAAAAAGGAGACGCCTAAATCCTTGGAATCGTGCCAGCTAGCGGTTTGGCCCAGCATAAGCAGAGCCAACAGGGACTTGTCGTCCATGGTAGTCTCCTTGGAAATGATCTCCACTGCTTCGTTGCGCATGCGTTGCCCCAAGGGGCCGAATTCTGGAAAATTGTTCACCAGGGTGGCTGCTGCCATGCTTTGCATAGTCTTGCACATGGCCAGAGAGGAGCCCCAGAGACGTGATACAGTCGACCGGAATGGGTTCATCTGGCTATCATAGCTAGAGAACAGAGCGGCTACCTCTTTGAAGTAATATTCAATCAAAGTCCAAGAGGGGTTGTTCAACGTTTGAGGAATCGAGGTGAAATCGTGCAAAGGCGGCTTTGGATGGGACGAGGAATACGTGCGGATGATCGTCGAAGGCGAGAAACCGGAAAAATGATGAGAATTATGTTGCAGCTCTGATCCTGCTGATGAAAAGAAGGTTGTGAGATTCGTTGGCGTTCCGAAGTCGAGTACGGAGCTCTCCCGTCGTGGCACTGATATCGGAGGCGATGCTGACGCTGGGGACGGAGGGCAAAGATCCGTCAACTCAGGAAGAGAGCCTGTGCTCTGGAGATCCCATAGATTATCACACAAGACACTTCCGCCATCCGCTTCCAATACTCTTGTTTCAGATGGTTCATGTGGACGGTTCGAATTCAGGTTGCTACTATCTAATGCCAACGGGACCTGCGGCAATGAATTGATGAAGACCGGCGATTTGGGTGAAATTGACGGCCGCCGACCTGAGGATTGAATTGATCTGGATGCGGATGCTTCAGAGATGCTCGTTTGATCATTGTCGGGCTCTTGAAACTTGGTCACCCAGCGCAGAGATTGAACATATCCGGGGCACTTCACTCCTAAACGGATACATCGGCTACAGTGTGGTTTTTCTTCCCCACATTTGACCTATCATCATGTTCAGTGATCCGATCCTAACAAATTATCGCAGTCACAGAGTCGAGGCTCTACGTGACGGGCATATGTCGAGGATACACTCACCCTTTTGCTCTTACACCTAGCACAACCGTTGCGGGACTTTTTGACTCGTCGCATAACGATTCAATCTCATCGGCTGAGACAACAATAAAGCAGATAGGTTGTCATCGAGAGATGTTGGAAGTTGGAAGAAACTTTCAAACTCCCCATTACCGCTCAAAGTAGAAGCAAGTCATCTGGACAAAGATAATAGATGCCGAGAGCGTGCGGGGAAACCCTGAGCTTATCAGCAGGCGGCGTCCAATTAGAGACCGGTTGCGATGTCTGCCTGTTTGGGGCAAGTTGAAGGCTATCCGGGAAGTATATGAATCGTGGAGTTTCTCAGGACTATCCATGGCGAGTCATTGATCCCCTGCTCTCGGGAGGTAGCAGGAGTCCCTATGGTTGGAACTAGCTGCATGATTGAGACCCTTTGAACTGGTCAATCAAGGAACAGGTCAGCATTGCTACTGTCACAAACGACGGCGTTCGTATGAAGAGATGCTTGAAGACTGCTGCAAAAGCAGATAAGCCATCCAAAGCATGGAGCACGACGCCACTCAGCGCCGCATGGCGGATCTCTTTCATCTCAGCTACCAGAAACGTACATGACCACGAAGTAGGATGAAAGCTCGTTGTTCTTACTGGCCACGAGGGCTCCATGGCAACTCGCTTGACATGACCTATTTCTGTATATGTATATCCAAATCAATGGTTGGAACAAAGAAGAATGATCAGACGATTTGGTGCTGTGGATGAGGAAAGCAAAGAGGAAGAAAGGAAGGATGTTTGATATTGTTGTCTTGATATTGTTCGGGATGGCCGCCTGAGGCTGCCACAACCCCACTCGATTATCTTATCGTGTTTTTGATGAATTTCCTCCTTACTACTCCGCACCGCCCTCTTCGCTGTGATCATTTCTACTTATTGTTACATCTACCTTTCAAATACGATTATAGACACTAGCGATTTGGAAGCAATTGGTTGTTCACCAAATCTCTGCCGAAGGAGAACCTACATTTCTGTGGGAACGGACTGTGGTCACTGTGAGCATAGTACCATCGCTCTTCAAGCAAGATCAACACGGCCCTTTACGGGATACTTCACTTTGATTGACTATTTCGCATGCTTCCGTATTAAAGCAAAACTCTAATATTGCTAGAGTGTTTTGGAGCTTGTTTCCGGAGAATTCCTTCTTGACAGTTGCTCAAATTAACACCAATCATTATTCCGTCCCAGCATGGAGGGAAAATACTCGTCCGATCCAGAGTGGGCATCTACCAAGCCCATTGAGCTCAATGATGGCAGTGCCTCCGGCGCCATGCCGTTGGCCACCATTTCCTATTTCCCGGAATATCTCGAGGCCACTTCTTACCTGCGAGCTGTAATGGCCGCCAACGAAATGTCTGAGCGAGCGCTGAGACTGACAGGAGACATCATCTCCATGAACCCAGCGCATTACACTGTTTGGTAAGGATCAGACTACAGTCTTCGCCGCCTTAAAAACGGCGTTCAAAATGACTAATATCTTTTGTTTAGGATATACCGGGCTAAGATTCTTTTCGCCCTAGGAAAAAATCTCAATGAGGAGATTGAATGGCTCAATAAAGTTGCCCTAAAGCATCTCAAGAACTACCAGATATGGTAAGTATTAGGTTCTATTACACCTTGCATCCCATCCGTCTGACGCACTTCAACAGGCACCACCGCCAAGTTCTCATGTCTTCGCGGGCTCATTTTCCAACTCTTCCGCCCAGCGAGCAGGACTTCCTGATGGAGATGTTTGCCCAGGACGCCAAGAACTATCACGTCTGGACATACCGCCACTGGCTCGTCCGACATTTCAAGCTCTGGGATTATCCGCGCGAGATCCAGGATGTGGAGGCGCTGCTGAAATCTGACGTCCGGAACAACTCCGCCTGGAACCATCGGTACATGCTCCGATTTGGACCGCGTGATGAAAACGAACATGATGCCGGTCTACACAACACCACGGGGCCATCCTCGGAAAAAGGCCGCCTGCCAGTTGTCGACGAGGATCTGGTCGACTCCGAGCTGCAGTACTCGCAGAATAGGATACTCGAAGCTCCTGAGAACCGCAGTCCATGGTCGTACGCGCGCGGAGTACTCCAGGCAGCCGGCAGACCCCTTTCTGAGTGGAAGGATTTTGCCCGGAGATTCGTTGTCGAAAAGCAGGAGAACGGTCAGGTGGTGGACGTTGCGGTCAAAAGTAGCCACGCTATTGAATGGTTAGCCGACGTGTACGCGGAGGAAGACGAAAGCACTTCATCCAAGGAAGGAAGCGCAGCCGAGGCGGTTAAGATGCTCACTCTCCTCAAGGAGAAGTACGACCCTATCCGGAGGAACTACTGGGACTATCGAATCCGGCAGATTACGGCGTCGGCGGCACATGCTACGGAGGTATCTGCGTCCGCTTGATCTGAGATGTTTCTTGCAATGGTTCAAACACGATTCTTTGTATCAATTCTACCTATCTGAGTTAAAATTCTTGGGTTTCTTTGGTTTTCCATGTACATAATTTGCGATTCTACGGCGGTCTTTGGTAATTGTTGTTATGTTTACAGAGGAATTTCAGTATTTAGGACCAGAAAGTCTGCCTTATACGTAAGCAAGGGCGCAGGTGGTGTGGTCGGGGAGACAATCGAAGTACGCAAGAAGCGGTTCATCTATTGCATAATTCTCAGAAAACTGAATTCT